AACCTTTTTCCATCAATTTCACCCTATTTTCCTGTCAGAACCAGTGGGTTTGGGTTCATCCTCTTCCTCCCTTGAAACACCCCCCCCAAAAAAAGGAATTTTCATTAAAAACACTGCAAAAAAGCCCCAAATCTAAAATCCCAGTGTCCAATTCTTTCCCGCTTCGTGCGTCGTAACTTTGATAAAACTCAATTATTTGGCTTTAAAATGAAATTGAAACTAAATAATGAGGTAAAACTTTTGTTTTTAAGCCTTTTCCATCAATTTCACCCTATTTTTCAGGATTTCCCTGTCAGAGACAGGAATAAAGTTCAATTATTTGCCTTAAAAAACGGGCTGGAACAGAATCGTGAGGTTAAATCCTTATTTTTAACCTTTTTCCATCAATTCCACCCTATTTTCCTGTCAGAACCAGTGGGTTTGGGTTCATCCTCTTCCTCCCTTGAAACACCCCCAAAAAAACCAGGAATTTTCATTAAAAACACTGCAAAAAAAACCCAAATCTAAAATCCCAGTGTCCCATTCTTTCCCGCTTTGCGCGTCGTAACTTTGATAAAACTCAATTATTTGGCTTTAAAATGAAATTGAAACTAAATAATGAGGTAAAACTTTTGTTTTTAAGCCTTTTCCATCAATTTCACCCTATTTTTCAGGATTTCCCTGTCAGAGACAGGAATAAAGTTCAATTATTTGCCTTAAAAAACGGGCTGGAACAGAATCGTGAGGTTAAATCCTTATTTTTAACCTTTTTCCATCAATTCCACCCTATTTTCCTGTCAGAACCAGTGGGTTTGGGTTCATCCTCTTCCTCCCTTGAAACACCCCCCAAAAAAACAGGAATTTTCATTAAAAACACTGCAAAAAAACCCAAATCTAAAATCCCAGTGTTCAGTTCTTTCCCGCTTCACAACTTTGATAAAACTCAATTATTTGGCTTTAAAATGAAATTGAAACTAAATAATGAGATAAAACTTTTGTTTTTAAGCCTTTTCCATCAATTTCACCCTATTTCCACCCTAATTTTGTGAGTTTGGATTTATCCTCATCCTCTCCTGAGAGAAACACCCCCCAAAAATATGAGTTTTTAATTAAAACCCTCAAAACTCCACAAATTCCAACCCCAAATCCCAACGTTCAATGGGGCTTTTTCCCCACTTTTCATGTCACAACTTCAACAAAACTTCAATTATTTGGTTGAACAATGAAATTTAAACAAAATCATGAAGTAAACCCCTCGTTTTTAAGCCTTTCCCACCAATTTCACCCTATTTTCCTGTCAGAACTGGTGAGTTTGGGTTTATCCTCCCCCCTCTTGAGCAGAAACACCCAAAAAACATGAATTTTTAATTCAAACCCTCAAAACTCCCCCAATCCCAATCCCAAATCCTAAAATCCCAGCATTCAACTTGGCTTTTCCCTACTTTAAGTGTCACAACTTCAATAAAATTCAATTATTTGGCTTAAAAAGTGGAATTTAAACAAAACAATGAAATAAATCCCTTCCTTTTGAGCCCTTTTTTTACTATTTAATCCCTATTTTCCAAAATTTCCCCATCAAAGAAGGTGTTTGGGTTTATCCTTCTCCCCCCGAGAGAAAATACCTCAAAAAACAGGAATTATAATTAAAAAACTGCCCCAAACTCCCCAAATCCCAACATTCAATTGGGGTTTTTTCCCCCACTTTGTGCATGAAATTTAAAAAAATGTTAATTTTTTTAATTAAAAAAAGGGATTGGACCAAAATCATGAGGTAAAAATGATTAAAAAAGAGGGATTTTACAAGTTTAACCCCTATTTTCCATGATTTTCCCCCTCTGAGCAGGTGAGTTTGGATTTATCCTCCTCATCCCTGGAAGAAAAGACCCAAAACCCAAGGATTTTAATTAAAAAAATAGGAAAAAAACCCAAATCCCAGCCTCAAATTGAGTTTTTTTTCCCTTTTTGGTGCATGAAATGTTAATAAACCTCAATGATTCGGTTTAAAAAAGGGGCTGGGACAGATTCATGAGGTAAAATCTCTATTTTTGAGGCTTTTTAGAGCAATTTAACCCTTATTTTCCATCATTTCCCTCCTCGTTCTCCCCCCACGTGACGTCGCATCAAAACACGGGGCCTCAGCTCTCAAAAAAAAGCTTAAAAATTAAAAAAACCACCCAGAATCAATCAAAATTCACATTTTTCCCCAGCAGGAAAACCCGGGTTCAACGTCCACGTGGTTAATTACTAACAATTCAATTAAAATAAAGACATAATGAGGGCAAAGAACTAATGAGGCTCAAGAGCACGAGGAGATGAAACCTCTGGATTTGGGGCTCATTTTTAATTGAAAAAACAACCAAAATCCCCCCAATTCATCAAGATAATTAAGAAAACATTCACTTTTCTCCTCTTCTACCCTCTGAAAAATTAAACCCTCCCCGTTTCGTTAATTAACAATAATTAAACCCCGAACTGATCGTTGTCCCAACTTCCTGGTCGCTCTCAAACCACCACAAAACTCCCCCCCAAAAAGGGGGTTTTTCCCCCCAAAAAAACCTCCACAAATGGAATAATCCCCATTTCACACTCATTTCCCAGCTCTTTCCAACCACCTTTCCCGGAAGAAACTTAATTACAATTCATTAATTAACTACAACCGCGCGGCCCGAAACTCCCGCCCAAACTTTCCCTGTTTGTTCCGCCCCACAAATTGCCCTAAAATCGCCTTTTTTCCCCCATATTTTGTGGCGGTGATGAAAAAACCTCTTGGAATTCCCATCCCCAGGCAGGAAATCCGCGGGTTTTTTGCCTCAAAATCCCGTTTTTGGGGGTTTTGAAGGAGAAAAGGGCGGAAAAGGGAGGATTTGCAACCAATTTTGGGGGGGGAAAACTGAGGGAAAAGGGGGTAAAATGGGGG